AGCCCCATGGGCACTCCAGGGCACTCCAGTTGGGCCGAATGCCAGGGCAAGTGGGACAGTGGCAACAGCTCAGTGCTGGGGGACAGCCATGGGAAGGAGCTGGTTCCTCACTGCCTGGCAGCGTTCCTGACCCTCTGCGGCACCCAGATCCATTTCCAGATGCCACTGACCCCTGAGGATTGCCCACCTGCCCCGCCCCGCCCCAGAGTAGAGGGTCCTACCCTGTAAGCGAAGGGTGGCAGGGGCTGGATGCGGAGCAGCAGGCAATCGGACAGGGAGATGTTGCTGTTGCGGTAGCAGCTGAGGTCCTGGCACCCCCACACCAGCTTGTAGACCTCCAGGCATGTCAGCCCAGCCACGGCTGCTGTGGTGGTAATGATGGCAGGCACAATTTGCCCAGCAATCCGCTTGCTCTAAGGACAGGAGGGGTGTCACCAGCTGCTCTACACAGGACAGGGACCCCTGACCTCATGGGCTGCCCCTCTCACCATCAGCCAGGTGGCAGGGGGGATGCCGTAGTTCTCTGCGCGCAGGTTGGATGCTGCTGTGATGAAGTCCATATGGATATTGTTGTCCTGCAGGGAAGAGTGTAGGGACATCAGCATCCCATGGGGACATCAACCCTCCAGGCTGAGCAAGGCCCCCTGCCTAGCTCTGGTACCTTCTCGAAGTAGATGGGCTCCATCAGGGGCCCTTGTGCCTTCTCATGCCCCATCAGCTCCTGTCTCCACTGTGCCAGGTACTGGGTGAGCTCTGTCAGCCGCCTGCGGTCTGGGAGCACAAGGAGCCCTGGGGTGGTAGCCCTGCTCTGTGGCACTGCAGGGGTATGCACAGTGCCCCTACCTTGGTTCCCATCCTCCTGGGAGCAGGGATGAGCAGCACTGCAGCCCACTATCACCAGGCTGGACCCAGGGACCTGGGGACATGACCTGGGGAACCCAGGGGTGTGGGGAGCCTCACCTGTGGGCACCTGCATCTCCTCCTGCTCCTCTGTGAGGGGGATCTGGAGCCCTTCCTGGGGTGCAAAGGGTGGCAGGACCACATTGTGGAGGATGGCCTGGGCGACCATCCTGTCCCTACATGGTGGCACTCTGTGTGCTTGTGCAAAGAGGTGAGCAGCGGCCAGGATGTAGTCCAGGTGGGTGTCCTGTGGGGCAGAATGGAGGCCATGGCTGGGATGGTCCACAAGCCCATGCAGCCAAGGGCACCCTGCACTGGCCCGAGCTGGCAGAACAGCTTGGCTTTGCCCCAGGGTTGAGGAGCCACTCCTCCTCTGACCATAAAGCACATGCAGGCTGTCCCCAGCAGTGCCCTTGCTGACCTGGCAGCCCTGGACAGACTGTGACAGATGGAACATGACTACAGTCCAGCATCCCTCTACACTCAGCCCAGGCTCAGCTCTCCCCTTGCCTGCACCATTCCTATGCGAGACCCTACAGATCTCCCTGCACTTACATTGTCAGGGTTGAATGTCAGTGGATGGGGACAGCTCCTCTGCCCTGCCCAGAAGGGGACACCCGGGCTGGCTTCCTGGCACAAGGAGAAAAGAGTCAGGCTCAGGGATGCATGTCCCCAACTGTGGCAAGGTGGCTGGTGGAGGAGAGGGGATGCAGGGGATGCCAGCCCCATGGGCATTGGACTCACATGCTCTGGGGGATAGATGTGCAGCAGCTGGGCAATGGCATCGTGGTAGCAGCTTTGCCAGTGCCG